ACAAACAAACATACAACTTGCCTCTCAGTCAAGCAAATATCCAGAAAGATGTGCTTTGTCCAGATTCTGCAACCTTTTAGCCTTAGACTTCCTTTAGAAAGACATTTTTTGTCTATCTAAAAGCGTTGCTATCTTCTCTAAATGTTGTAGTATCGATTCTCTTATGTAAACTCATTTACCACTCATCCTTCTTTTAGTACCCAACCCTTTTGTAACTACAACAAAGAAGAGACTGCAAGATGTTTAACCTTGCCCGACAAGGTGAAATCTTGCCCATCTCTCTTCGTTTTGTTTTTCAATTAATAATTCTGGTGTTATAATGTATTCCCCAGTATATATTCAAGTCATTTCCAGCCTTTTGATGATCCATAGTTCCATCAGTTCTCATATCTGGTTCACTTAGTAGTTTTATTGTCATAAGAAGATTAAAAGTGAATTAAAGCAGATGACTTGATAAGATCTGGACCTCCACCTTTTAAGCATGCAAGATAACGAACTAAAAGTCCTTGATCTCAAGGCATAAAAAAGAACTTAATGTAGACTTAACTCATTTACAACAATCCTTTGATAACAAGAAGTCATAATAACTTGGGGCACAAGTAATCAGCTTAAATACATTTGTTCTACATCTGCCATACAGATATGGCAGTTGCACGCCTTAGTACTTAGTTAGTTTTGATTGTGAGCCTCAAGGCCTACACCTAAGGCCCCACAAAGGCACCTTTCAGACCTAACTTTGTCCTCCTCTTGCAACATCTCAGCAAGTCGGAGCCCGTCAATCAACCAAAGTGCCAACTCTTCGGGGAGCTGTGTGCTCGAGCCAGGGACCCGTCCCCATGAGATTTCCTGCTCGAAAAAATCCTTATTCAATCACATTCTAAAATACGATTAGGGTAACTTTGTGATGTTTTGCTACAGAAATGGTGCGGAGGGAAGTTCCCCAGTCTCCAATGAGGAAAACGACTTTTTTGCAGGCTTTTTCCCGCGATATCAAGCCACGGTAAGGGACCATAATGGTATAATTCAAATCCATACCCTCTTAACTTCATTTTGGTAATTAAATGGTGAATTATGGTTAAGTTTTGGAGCTCGAACGGAGCTCTATTTTGCTGTCCAGAATCTGGCAACCCGCCAGAGAAGAAGAAAAAGGAAAAAAACAAAACAAAAGGCTTCAACCCAAACTCGACCCAAAACATAAACCCAACCCTTTGGGCCTTTGTCCTAGGCCGGCCCGTTTCACACTTAAGCTCAGAATATTCTTTGGAATATTCCTTAGGTTGGCTTTTTTGGAAATTTTTCGAAAACCCTCCTAGGCAAATTTCAACGTCCTGAGTCCATTTTTGACATCCATTTAGTGAAATTCCAAAGTTTTAACTTGGTTGACAACCAGGGCATCTCGGTTGACTTTTTAGGGTTGACCATTGACTTTTTACAAAATCTGCCGGGGACCCTCCTTAGCGATTTCGACGCCCTGACTCTAAATTCGCAATCTGTTTTCCCAAATTTAATTGTTTTAATGGAGTTTTACTAATGGGTCCTAATATTATTCTTAGGTGCGATTATTATCGGTGACTACGACTATTCTAGTTCGAACAGGTTCGACTCGACGACATGATTTGTGAGTGGGTCTTTTCCTTTTTATAGTGTGTGTATGTGTGTGTGTGTGTGTGTGTGTGTGTGTGTGTGTGATTGATAGTTTCCATTTATGCATTTGGGTCTTTTCCTTTTTATAGTGTGTGTGTGTGTGTGTGTGTGTGTGTGTGTGTGTGTGTGTGTGTGTGTGTGTGTGTGTGTGTGTGTGTGTGTGTGTGTGTGTGTGATTGATAGTTTTCATTTATGCATTTGAAAAAGAATTTCTTACGTACGCCTAGATTAGACTAAAGTTTATAAGAATTAGCGAAAAGAAGGGATTTGTGAAATATGCTACATCATACGTGATGTACATGTATACTTATAATCTTTGATGCCATAATTATATCTATGGTTATGACTGTTAGTATGTCAATTAGAACTATCGAATCACTATGGCATTATATCTATGGTTATGACTGTTAGTATGTTGATTAGAACTACCGAATCACTATGGCATGCTTATATTTATGTAGTCTGCTCATCATTCTACACCCCGGTGTTAGTGCTCGCCCAGGGCCAGGGCCAGTCTTTCACGTGTATGTTCACCTCTGCACCACACGCTCGCCTTAGGCAATTTCGACTCGTAGGTGACCGCGAATAACACTAGTCTTCACATGATTGTAGCACTAGAGCGTATGTTATGATTACAACCAGTCCTGTCATACATGTTGCATTAGGCAACTTCGATTTGTGTGCTAGCATAGATTGGTGAGCATCAGTTCAGTTGTACAGGTAGCATTAGGCGACTCAAACTTGTGTGCTAGCATTTATTGATGAGCACATAATTTTACTTATATTACTATTGAGCTTTTGTGATTTTGGATGTCTTGCTCGTAGTTACGAGATTACCGTAATGAATTCTTGAGATTTTGCAGGCTACGATAAGTATTTTAATACTACGTAGTAAGTATATTTTGGAAACTATACTTGTTTTACGGTGAGAGGTTACAATGTTTTCAGAAAGGTTTTTATAAAACTTTATTTTCAGGCCCACTCTCCTTTGTTTTTCACCCCTCTAGGTTTTAATAGCTGAGCTTTCTTATCAAAGAGGATTTATAGCAAATCTTGGTATCGGAGATTATCTTCGATGGTATGATTCTCAATCCACTCTACTATACTTTACTTATGCTCTGACATCACGTGTGAAATGAGTTCATTCCCGCTCACAAGCGCACTCTTATATTTAGGCATTTTTAGGTTTAAATTTATTCACATTTTCCACTACACTACACTTTATGGCTTTATCACCTTCTAGGTGTCGGCCAGCACAGCTCGATTCGGAGTCCAAGTGGGCATTCTGGGTCGGGGTGTGTCATCATATGTGTAAATAAATTGTATTAGTAAGTCAATAGTGTTCCGATGTGGCTACATATTTTTAATTTGGGCTTTTATTGAACATTTATATGTAGATAGGTTTTTGTCTAGGAATCATGAGTTGTAAGGGCCAAAATCTAAAGCACCCTAGTTTATATGATCTTGTATATGTACAACTACCTTCTCCCTTTCCCCATTTTCTTATTATTAGTCTACCAATGCAAACCTCTTTTCTAAATTTCATATTAAAAAAAAAAGGTCCAAGTTTTATTGAAAAAAAAAACGAAATTGAACCAAAACCAAACCCAAAAAAAATGAAAGAAAATCAAACCGAACCGAAGTTTTGATTCAGGTTTAGTTTTGACATAAAATCGAACCGAATTAAATCAAACTCACCTCTATCGGCAATTGGATTACCATTGCTCTTGTCTAAAGGCATACGGGAAAAATGCTCTAACTATTTTTTTCGATCCCCATGATATTAATTGTTTAATGCGGTTCATTTGTAGTTGTTGCATAATTGTTGGAGAGAAGAAAGAATGGTGGCAACAACTACAGATAAAGTCATGTGGTCATTTAATCTAAAAGAGATTAAATTATATAAAACAATCAGTGTTACATGATATTCCGATTTAATAATGTAATGTCATGCAAAAAAAATTAATACACGCTTATATTGAATCAGAACACTGATGCTTACAAAAAAAATTTCATTTATTTAGTCTTTTTCCCATTCAAAGACTAACCAAACCTTCAACCAAGTTTTCTTTATTGTTATTGTAAACACACATTTTCTGTAACAAATCAAACAAAAACACATGTACAAAATAAATTTTGTATTAATGTAAATATTTAGGGTTACAATCTTTGTTTTCCAAACTTGAATCCTTTGATTTGATCTCCGGGATGCAAAGTGTGTGTGTAGGGGGTTGTCGATCTGAGGATCGTAGTGACTTGATCTCAGATGAACGAATGTCGTAAGATTTTGGCTTGTGGTAATGGTAGAACCGGCACGTGTAGTGGTGCTTGGTGATTCTTCACGAGTGTAACGAAGAACACAGAGAGCTTTCTGAATCTTCTGAGTGTTTGAGAGTATTTTGGGCTTGAGAGTTTGAGCGTCTGGGCATGAGGATCAATTTCTCCTGCCCCTTTCTTTGTCTTGGAGTCTTATATTTATATGTTCTCCAAGTTTTGCCTACGGCTGGGTTTGGCGTTAATTAATTAACAAAAGAACCAAGACTTGACTTGGGGTTTTCTTCGTAATTTGACTTCATCAAACAATCTTTGATTTAAATGAAATAAAATCAATAACAGTTCATCCTTGATGCAGTGCCATCAATGTAGTTTGGTGGCTAGTCCAAATTCGATTTAATACTTCCTAATAACTTGATTTCCTGCAAGTGATGTTTTAATTAGGAATTGTGCTGTCATTTAATAATGATCATTTACTATGCTATAATGGATTAGGAACTTGTGTTTGTAGTTATTATGGTTGCTGGCTAGGCTCTCTAAGTACTTTATACATTAGAGACAGCAAGGGGGGATTTGAATTTGGAAGTTTATGTAAGCAGAGAGTATTCTCATGGCAGCAGGGAGAGGTAGAGGAAAGAGAGGTAACCATGGTCCAGAAAATCACAGGGATGAGAGAGACGACGAAATTCAGGAGTTGCGACGACAAGTTGAACGACTTACCTTGCAACTTGAATGCCAAAATGCTCACAGCGAGCATAGAGGATCAAGTCAAGGTTATTCAAGTGATGAATCTGACCAAAATTCGTTTGGCATACGTGAAAGAGGTCGTGCGAAAAGATTCACCCATGACTTTGACACAATCAAAATTGATTTGCCAGAGTTTCATGGTCGGCTAATTCCTGAAGAGTTTCTTGAGTGGCTTAGTGCCATTGAGAAGTTTTTTTTACTATGAAGACATACCTGAACATCAACAAGTAAAGTTGGTTGCAACAAGACTTCGTGGCTATGCATCTACATGGTGGGATAAAGTTCAAGAATTGTGGCTACGTAAAGGAAAGCTTAAGATTTCTTCTTGGGAAAAGATGAAAACAAGATTGAAAGAGAAATTTCTCCCACCAGACTTCACTCAATATAGTTTTTCACAATTCAACAACCTTCGCCAAGAAACTAAGAGTGTTGTGGAGTATACCGAAGAGTTTTACAAGTTGTCAGCACGTAATGATATCCAAGAAACTGAAGAACAACTCACTGCAAGATACATAGGGGGATTAAGACCTCAGATTCGTGATGAAGTCGAGATGCATAGAGTTTGTAGGGTTAATGATGCTTATCAATTGGCTTTAAAAGTGGAGGCTAGACTTGCTCATACTAGTACTAGAAGAGCTGCAAATTTTCATAGCTTTTATCCATCTTCTAAGGGTGAATCTTCTCATGGCTGGATCACCAATGGAAAAGCTAAGTATGAAGATAAAGGTCATATTAAATCAGCTCCTACAAATTATGGTGTAGCTACGGGAAGTTAAAGAAATAATATCAACAACTCTGGTTCTTGTTTCAAGTGTGGCCAAACCAGTCATCAATACAAGAGTTGCCCGAAGCGGCAAGTTGATACACGAGTGGCTCTTGGCTATGAAGACAACGAGGTTGAATACTTTAATGATTCTATTCAGCCCAATTTTGATGAAGACAATGATGTAGAGCGTGAAGAAATTGAACCTGAAATTGGTGAAACTTTGGTGATTCATCGAGTGTTTTCCACTCTCAAGTCAGAATCAAATGAAGACTGGCTCTGATCAAGCATTTTCAAGACACGTTGCAAATCTCATGACAAGGTGTGTACTCTTGTAATTGATGGTGGCAGTTGTGAAAATATTGTTTCTCAAGACATGATAGATAAACTAAAGCTCCAAACGGAGCCACGTCCACGACCTTATCGAATCGCGTGGTTCAAGAAAGGAAATGAGGTAAAAGTTTCCAGGAGATGTCTTGTTTCATTTTCAATGGGGAAGAATTACAAGGACCAAGTTTGGTGTGATGTAGTTCCTATGGATATTTGTCACATACTCCTAGGAAGACCCTGGCAATTTGATAGACGCACTACCCATGATGGTCACAAAAACAACTATACCTTTAGAATGGGAAAGAGTGAGATTGTTCTCTTACCTAGCAAGGAGGAAGAAGCTATTCCAAAAATCCAGCAAGAGAAGGGTAACCATTGCCTTACTTTATCCAAATTCTTAAAAGAGAGTGAAGACACATGTATTATGTATATATATTGGTTGCTAAGGAAGTAGGGAAATCTACAAATGTCCCTAGAAAAGTAGAGCTTGTCTTGGACGAATTCAAAGATGTTATCCCGGATGAGTTGCCTAGTGGTCTTCCCCCACTTAAAGACATCTAGCACCAAATAGATTTTATTCCTGGTTCAAACCTTCCAAATAAGGCTCACTGCCGCATGAGTCCTAAAGAGCATGAGGAGCTAAAACGACAAGTTTCAGAATTGCTTGAGAAAGGTTATATCAAATAAAGCATGAGTCCGTGTGCGGTACCAACTTTGCATAATCCTAAGACCGATAACACATGGCGTATGTGTACAGACAGCCATGCTATCAATCGAATCACTATCAAATACAGGTTCCTTATTCCGAGGATTGATGATATGTTCGACATGCTTGCTGGTGCCAAAGTATTCTCTAAGATTGATCTTCGAAGTAGGTACCACCAAATCCGAATTAAACCTGGTGATGAATGGAAGACTACTTTCAAAACTCGTGAGGGCCTCTTCGAGTGGCTTGTTATGCCATTTGGGCTATCCAATGCCCCGAGCACCTTTATGAGGGTAATGAATCAAGCACTGCGTTCTTTCATTGGTAAATTTGTCATTGTCTACTTTGACGATATACTCATTTAAAGGCTATGTTAACTGTTTTGAGAAAGGAAAATCTTTATGTGAACCTCAAGAAGTGTTCCTTCATGACCGAAAGCCTAGTTTTCCTAGGCTTTATCCTAACTTCTACAGGCCTGAAAGTGGATGAAGAGAAAATCAGAGCTATCCCATACCAAACAGCTTGCAGGATGTAAGGAGCTTTCATGAGTATTCCACTTATGATCTGGAATTCTATTCCATTGTTCAGTCACTTCGTCATTGGCGACCTTATCTTATTCAAAGGGAGTTTATCTTGAATTCTGATTGCGAGGCTCTCAGACACATTAACAACCAAGGAAACTTGAATAGAAAACATGCCAATTGGGTTGCATTTCTACAAGAGTATACTTTTGTAATAAGGCATAAAAGTGGGAGATACAACCAAGTTGCGGATGCTCTTAGCAGACGAGTGTCACTTCTCAATACCTTCCATGTTCAACTGGAAGGTTTTGACAACATTAAAGCCATGTATGCTGGTGATACTGATTTTGGGGAGGTTTGGGAGTTTTGCAAGGACGGACATCATAAGGATTACCTTGTCCAAGATGGTTTTCTTTTTAAGAGAGCATGTAAGTGCATTCCTAAATGCTCACTTCGGGAATATATAATTAAGGAGCTGGATATGAGAGGTTTAGGTGGGCATTTTGGGAGAGACAAGACAATATGTCTTGTAAAAGATAAGTATTATTGGCCAACAATCTATAGGGATGTGACTCACTACGTGAAAAGGTGCAGAATTTGTCAAACATGCAAAGGTCAATCATAGAATACTAGTGGTACACCCTCTTACCACCTCCCAATGCTCCATGGGAGGATATTAGCATGGATTTTGTGGTTGGTTTGCCAAGGACTCAAAGAGGAAATGACTCCATCTTTGTTGTTGTTGATCGCTTCTCCAAGATGGCTCATTTTATTCCATGTAAGAAGACTATGGATGCCTCTTATGTTGCTGATTTATATTTTAAGGAAGTTGTTAAATATCACGGTATTCCAAAATCTATTGTTTCAAATAGGGATACCAAGTTCCTTAGTCCTTTTTGGAGACACTTGTGGGGTAGGTTTGGCATTAATTTGATGTATAGTAGTGCTTATCACCCTCAAACCGATGGCCAGACCAAAGTGGTTAACAGAACATTCGGCAATCTGCTCAGAGCATTGGTAGCCAAGAAACCAAAGCAGTGGGACATGACTCTTTCTCAAGCTGAGTTTTCCTATGATTACGTTGTAAACAGTTATACCGGAAAGAATCCTTTTGAGATTGTTTATGGGTGAGCTCCAACACATTATCTTGACCTTGCTCCCATTCCAAACTCTTCATTACCAAAACTGAAAAAGGTTAAAGATTTTTCTGTATCCATGGCCAGAATACATGAAGAAGTGTGGAAGAAGCTTGAACACAGCAATATCAAGTACAAAGAAGCTGCAGATAAACATCGCCGCGTGAAGAAATTTGATGGAGATGATCTAGTGTGGGTATATTTGAAGAAAGAGCGTTTTCCTGGTGGCTACTATAATAAGCTCAAAGAAAAGAGGATTGGTCCATGCAAGATCTTGAAGAAAATCCGTGACAATGCTTATAGGGTCGAGCTTCCACCGGACATAAACATTCACCCAACTTTTAATGTTCGAGACTTGTCAGAATATCATGGAGAGTTGGGTTCAAACTCGTGCCATCAATGTAGTTTGGTGGCTGGTCCAAATTCGATTTAATACTTCCTAGTAACTTGATTTCCTGCAAGTGATGTTTTAATTAGGAATTGTGCTATCATTTAATAATGGTCATTTACTATGCTATAATGGGTTAGGAACTTGTGTTTGTAATTATTATGGTTGCTGGCTAGACTCTCTAAGTACTCAGAACGTTAGAGACAGCAAGGGGGGATTTGAATTTGGAAGTTTATGTAAGCAAAGAGTATTCTCTAATTGTTCTTTTAAAGTTGTATTCCAGATTTCAGTAAAGTCCTTTCTCTATTACCAACCTTCCTTAATTGGCCATCCTTGATTTGTTTAAAAATTAATCAAGAATTCATAAAGATAATTCTTTAATTAATTTCCGTCAAATATCGAGATATGTCACTCTTAATGATTTGTCTAGTTTTGATGAGTCACATGTCATGTATACAATTTGTGAGACACACAATGCATGTCACATAAGCCCTAGCACGTTGAGATTTTAATGTGCGGGTGCATATTTACTTCAATGGAAATTTTGATGCTTAGAGTTATTGAATAGCATAAGGAAATTGTTGTCTTTTCTAGACTTGTTTTCGACAAAAATTGAATGTAAAATCTCTCACTTACAAGTAAAGAAAAATACTTCTAAACCGTAATATCAAGTGATAAAGAAAATCATGATGCACTCTTCTTTTTCTTCTTATTATTTTTTAATTATAGAAGAGTACTTAATAACATTTTAGCACTGAAAGAAAAGAGGTTTAATGTTGAATCTTGATCAGTATAAAAGCTAAAACACCATAACCAAGTGTTGTCTTTTGCGTACCAAAATGAGTAGCTCTTAAGTTGAAAATGAAACTTTCTCTCCGCTTGGGAGATATGCTCACAGTCCATTTTCGTATTCGCCAACTCTAGCTATGACTGGGGTCGGTGGCAATTTTATTTTATTTATTTATTTTTTTTTTGTCTGCGAAATTTCTATCTCTATGTTGTATTTTTCCCCTTCCTCTCAATCTCGATCTTTGTTCTTCACAATCCATCGGTGTCCCTCTTCCTGGACCATCTTCACTTCGATATGTAGTCACTACTAATCGCGATTCGTTGCGTTTCTTTGATTTGGTGTGTAGAGTTCCAATGTTCTCACCGACTCAGGTGTTCACAACATCACTACCTTTTCTCTATCTGCCCTTGTTGGCAATGTTCCTTGTGGACTTTCACGGGCTTGATGGCTAGTTTTTTTTCCAGTTTGTGGATGCGATCGAAGAGTTGTTCTTGGATGGAGGTGCGATCGGCGAGGAGATGCTAGGTTGGGAGCGTGAGATCTAGCGGGTCAATGCAATGACATGGAGGCGGTTGCAGCAGCTGTCTCGGGTTTCTTTTCGTTTCTGTCTAGTCTGGGCTCAACTCTTGTTTGGGCTTTTGTTGTTAGTTTGATAGGTCCAATTTTGTATGAAAATTTCTGTCTTTGGGCCTTTTTTGTAAATTTGTGATGTTAGTAATAATATTTTCATCCGGGTATGTGGCCTAGATCTTGGTTGTTTACCACCAAAAAAAAAAAAAGTTGCTCTTTTGTTTCACTTTAAGAGATAGTTTAATTTGGTTGGATTAGCTTAAAAAGTTACATAATTTGGTGAAAGAGATGCTTCCAACTAAACCATGTCCATTGTATATGATTGAATCACCCAAGTATCAAGAATGCAGTTTGCCATTGGGTTTGGTGTCTTGTGAAAAGAATATACCTTTTCGTTGCAATAGAGCTTAATTTTCACTTAAACAAATGTGGTGCCTAGACATGTAAACGGGTTTGATTTATCAAGTTTGGACCGGGTTCAATCCGACCCGTGAAGATAACAGGTCACCTGAACTCAACCTGTTAATCTAATAGGTCACCTATTCGTCCGTTAACATTTTTTTTTTTACTTTTCGCATTCCAATACAACTACTCATATTAACTACAAGGATATATAAAAAGGTGCTGACTTGGATATATAGAAAAATGGGTACTGACCTTGATATATAGTGAAAGGGGTGCATATCTAAAAGGGGCCGTTTTGATACAGATGTCTAGCTTTTAAAATTTTGAGAGTAAACATTCATGCATTTTAGAGTTTTGATTAACAATAATGCTATTCTTACCATCTTATTATACCACATTTAGTATACCATGTGATGTATGGAAGCTTAGGTGTCAACGTAGGTGGAATTTCTGTTTATTTTAATTTAATTTTATTTTTGCTTAAACCCTACCCGTTCAACTTCCCTGTTAGATACGTTTTCATCTCTCCACCTGATCTGAGTCCAACAGATGACAATTCCAATGAAAATTCAAGCCAAAACCTTCGACAACATCGGGATATAACATGGAATGAAATTTTCATTCCTATAGAGGATTAGGAAAAGATTTTGGTGCTAACCAAAAGTCCATGAAGAACGAAGAAAAGAGGTTGTCTTCCAAATCTTCTTCCATTTGGAAAATCCTCTGCAGTAGAACAGAAAGGAAAATATCGTATCCAATCCTTTTCATATTTTTGTTCAATGTTGCTGGAATTAAAAACCTATGAAATCCAACATTTGGCTAGAAGGCATAAACCGTTAAAATTGCAAATTTGATCTGGTGGCAGAGCAAAACAATCACTGGGAGCAACATCAGGATATTCGGCCAGTTGGCAGTGATGAATGGGGTCGAGCACCATCAATCGTCGGTGAAGGAAGGTGAAATTGGAGAGCAAAGAGGGAGGAGGCCCAGCGGCGAGGCTTGAAAACGGGAGCAAGTAGGTTTCATTATTATTTTTTAATTATTTTATTAATAAAAATCATTGAGTAAAATCGTAAATATCCACCTTAGCTGACATGGGATTTTTTTAACTGATGTGGATGTCCATCTCAATTGCCACATAAGATGGAATTTTTTTTAACTGACTTGGATATATAGTGAAAGGGGTGCATATCTAAAAAGGGCGTTTTGATACAGGTGCCTAGCTTTTAAAATTTTGAGAGTAAACATTCATGCATTTTAGAGTTTTGATTAAACATTTTCCTACAATTTAGGTGCCATATGCATTAGAAGTAGCCTTGTTTGTAATGTAAAATTACCCAACTTGCCATTATATAAATCTACCTTTTAATTCCTAGATAATAAATCAAAACTCCTAAAATCTTGTAGATAAATATTGTAGAATTTAATTTCAATAAAAAGTATTTCAAATTACACATGAACGCAACTTGCTATTATATTTAATATACGTTTTAATTCTTAGATAATATATATAAACTCCTAAAATCTTATAGATAAATATTGTAGTATTCAATTTCAATAAAAAGTTTTTCAATTGACACATGAAACGTATATTTCTTCTTGATACATATTTGATACGTTACTTAATATATCTTCTTGGTAGATATTTGGTATGTTTGTATTCTTTTTTGTATGTATTTGGTACGTTTATATATCTTTTTGGTGCGTTTATATTTATTTAAAAAAAAAACATATTTGGTACATATATTTCTTCATGGTACATATTTGATACGCTTGTATTTCTTTTTCATAAAGAATTTTACTTTATATATATTCTTGGTACATATTCGATACGCTTGTATTTCTTTTTCGTATGTATTTGGTATGCTTATATTTATTTTAAAAAAACATATTTTGTATGTTACATTATAAATCTTCTTGGTACGTATTTGGTACGTTTATATATATTATCGGTACGTTTATATTTATTTTCAACAAAAAAAAAATCAAAGAACAAACTGAAAGATACAATGAAGAACAGATTTCTGTATACTCCTAATCCTTGTGGGAACTGAAATAATATACAAGACATGCACAAATTACAATTCAATATAAGTCTCGAACTCCTTGTCCATACTAAACTAAACAGCAACAACAATATCACAGCAAGATTATACTACAGCAGCAAGCATAGTTGATTCAGGCTTCTTTGGTTTATCACAAACAACTCGGCAATTTTTGCTCCTTGACTTCCTCCAACTTTTTTGCCATTTTTTCTTTTTAATTTTTCCAACGTTCCAACACGAGGAGGGATTCCAATGTTCCAACTAGACTTGGCATTTTGAACCCGATTCGTTAAACCAACCCGACCTGACCCGTTAATATTAGTATTTGGGTGGATACTTAACGGGTCAAGTCGCTAACGGGTGAACAAGTTAACAACCCGTTAAATAACGGGTCACTTTGGGTCAACCCGTTAGCACCTGTTAGTTGAGGATGTTTTAGTAATTTCAGTAAAGTCTTAACAACAAAAATAAACTTTATGCAAAAAAAAAATAATAATAATTGTTAACGGGTGATCCGTTAGTTTAACGAGTCGGGCTCGGGTGACCCGTTAGCTTAACAGGTTGGGTTCGGATAACCGGTTAACTTAACGGGTCGGATTGAACCCGATCCAAACCCGGGTGACCCGTTATCTTAATGGGTTGGGTTCAGATAACCCGTTAACTTAATGGGTCGGATTGAACCCGATCCAAACCCGATAAACCCGACCTGTTTACAGGTCTAGTTCCAACGCCATTACAAATAGAAACAAAACCTGAAAATTAATGGGATATGTGGAGCCAAAAATAATCACAAGGCAACACGTGGATTTTTGGACAAAAGACGACAAAAATACCCTTGAGGTATAACGGGATTTCTACGCGCGAGCAGCGGGCAATCATCCTTCAACCAAATTAAAAGTGCCCAAAATAGGTAATAAATTCAAAGTTATTTCATCCATCCTCATTCTATATTTTCCACAAGGTAATTATTTCATAACCTTCAAAACATCCCATATAAATTACATAACCCCCAAAATATTTATTCCAAAAATGTGTTGATTAACCAATTAATGGATTAATTGTCTAATTAATCCATTAAACCACACATTAAACCATAAGTTACACCATATCCCTATAAATAGGCTCCCATTTTCAACAAAAGATCATTCCAACACACTTGCAAAATTCACAATACTCTCCAAACACTTTTCTCTCTAAATTCTAACTTTGGCATAGGAGGTTCTTCGGCCAAAGCCCCCCATTCATCGTGGGCGTGTGAGGCTCTTGGCCTTGACCCTAAGATGTTAATTGTTTTGTAGGTGCAATTTTGTCCAAGATCAAGAAGAAAGAAATTTGCATCCACATGATACATATCATCTTTATTTGCAATTTGGAAAACTAATGAGGTACATATCATCTTTACCTTTGAATTTCAAAATTCAAAAAATATGTCCCCCAAAAAATTACCGAATAAAAAACCCTCTCCACAAATTAAATTATGCAAATGATCATAGTTTAGTAGGCAAAGAACGTTGCTTTTCTTTATGAAGTAATAATTTAGAGCAATTATGTATTCACATAAACTACTACAAGACTAAGAAGATGGATCAACGTACCAGCCTCTTGATAAAACCTGAAGCAGTAAAGAATTTTGATGAAACATGCTCAACGTACCAGTATTAAATCGCAAAAATAGAGTGTAATAGCAGAATGTATCAGCATTAAGCAGCTGGAAACAAAGAGTAAATAGCAGATCACATATACGCATAATTATCTCAAATGATAACAAGATAAAATTGTGAAAACAACCATTAATTGAATTGGATAAACCCATTCAAGATTAAAAAATGGGAGATCACAAAATCACATGTAGACGAGAAACCCACGTTCTCATTAAATTCAACAAACCAGAAACTACTTCCTAAAATAAAGGTCACGTACAATGAAATATCAGTCTAAAAGGATATATTTGAAATTCAATAATTAGCATTTTAATTTAAAACATACAATAATGACATGTAAAAAAAAAAGGTCGTACCCAGTGCACAAGGCTCCCGCTTTAAGCAGGGTCTGGGAGAGGTGAATGTCGGCTAGCCTTACCCCCATTTATGGAGAGGCTGCTCCCAAGTCTCGAACCCGAGACCTACCGCTCATGGGCGAAGGCACTTGCCATCTTACCAAGTGCGACCTCTACAATAATGACATGTAATTTAAGTAAATATAAAAACGCTTACGTGGCTATTGTTTAAGGCGGCTTAATCAAATCTTAAAATGGAACCAACGGTTAATTTAAAAAGTATTAAAAAGATGCAGGAGATTCTAAAAGGGGTGCATATCTAAAAGGGTGCTGATTTGTATATGTAAACCTACAAGGATAAATGAGAATATAAGTACAAAATTTCTACACGAAGATCAAAGAAGTACGTCATTTGGATGAACATGTAAAGCAACTACTCCTCTCTCTGTTGATCAAGTGTAGAGGCAGAGATGGTAGACTTGTAGTACTGTTTAAGCAAGAGTAAAGCATTTATGAGACATGCAGAGCAAGCAGAAGCATAAGGCTCAATGCAATTAAACAAGCATAAGTTCATATTACGTAAAGTTTAGAAAGGAAACAATATTAATTATGTCTGAATTTCAGTAACATAAATGGTACAGCAAGAAAGCTCGAAAATTGAGAGAAAATAGAAGATTGGATATAGACCAGAGAGCGAGAAGGAGCCAGAGCCCAAAAGCGAGGGACGAGAGGGTAGAGAG